ACAGTTTTCAGTCACCCTTATCTAAGCTACACATGCCACCTGTTACTTTTTACGCTTCTTCAGCCCAAATCTTTCAGCTTATGAGATCCTAGGGGATGTTAATTGCACCAGGCCCCGTGACCCGAGATGATTTTAGATAGAAATCAAACTCCCGTATCTGATTGTCGCCTGAGTTTGCGTGAGCGTGATTTCAATCAGAACCACTATGAAGTATTTGCTATTTAGAGACAGCCAAATTTATTTAGTTTGCCAATAAAGAACTATCTGGTACTAATGCCGAAGATGGCTCTCCGACTGCCACACACACCTTCATACATTAGTCCAACATCTTAATATCAGGGTTAACAGCTATTAATGTGAATTTAATGTCTACCCGATTACAAAAATCCTATTGCACACTCCACCTCGTTCTAGGTTCGCCTCCGCTGCCAGTCGGTTGCAATGCCTGCGGCGACAGCGACGGGACTTCATCTTCATAGCCAGTCTCGGACGTGGCGCCTATGGCCGGGTGAATCTTGTACGTGAGACGGCGACTGGCCGTATCTGTGCTATGAAAATTCTAAACAAGGGCAAGATGCTGAGCCAACACGCTGACTTTTGGGCGGAGCGTGAGATAATGGCCAGAAGCACCTCCCCCTGGCTTGTTCGGCTGTTCTACGCATTTCAGGCAAGTTCCTTTACATAACTTTCCTATTCTCAACTACATGATCTGCAGTTGATCCCACTGATAATGCCTGTAGCTTCATAACAAAGCCGTAGTCACTGACACCTTGCTACACCATCCTTTCTAGCAGACCTGAGATGAATGTTTCTGGGTGAAACGATCGAACGAGCCTGTAGTTATGACGAAGGTTAGGTCAATATCGCCTCTTACATCGGTCGACGTTTCAGCCTGCCAGGTGAGGCTGAGGCTAGAAAGCGTTGACGAGTAGTCACAATCATTTTCGACTGTTATTTGAATCAGCCAAGTACACGCAGCGCATTATTCCCGTCTCGCACAATCGCTTTCCGCTGAATATATGTTGGTTACAAAGCGCCGATAGAAGGGGCCAGATTTTCACTGAATATCGCCGTTGTGCATACAAGAGGACTGGGTGTGCTCGTAGGTGTAACGCGTTGCTATGCCGCAAGAGCGGTCATGCGAAAGTCCGAAAAACACCACTATTATACTCTTCACTATGCAGTTCTCATGTAATATCTGACTCTTTCTCCAGGGTTCTTCGGAGTGGAACACATCATACCTCAACAAGTTGTAGTCTAATTGAAGTTATGCCGCGACTTCATAAACTCAAACCTATTGCGAAGTGATACCTGTAGTAAATATGACTGTTGCTAATGCATCTTAGATGAGAAATCCTTCAATACAGAGGTCTTCCGACTACACCGGGGGCATACCAAAGCTGACCTACACAAATGCATTGATTGATCAGGGTTGCGGGATCCAGGAATAAGTTCCTTATTTCGGTGTAGAACATTCTGTTCCGATGTCACGGATATGTCACCGTCGATGGGGCACCCAAACCGTCATTGTTCTGTTGAGTCCATCAGTGCCTGTCTGGAGTGACCAAATTCACAGTGTAACTGGATATAAATTGTCAGAATGTCGTAAAACAACGCCGAGAGGCGAATCGATAAAATTGGATTCTATCGTGCTCTTGCATAGTTCTTCGCAGACCACAGATAACACGCAAGCCTTCTGGAGTCCTTTATTTTAGCAGTGGAAGGTTTGCATAACTCCCGAGGGAAACTGTCTTAAATGAATAAACGTCAACCTCATGAGCTCAGTGTTACCGCCCTCGACCCCAAAACCGTTACCCAATTGGAAACGTCGAAGAGGGGCTCAACTCAGTAACTGGCTCGACTCAGTCTGTCAGGACATGGAACTGGTTCTTGGACCTTCGGTATACGGTCTCCGGCGCTGGCGAGGAGAATGGATTGAACTGTCCAGGTCTGTTGCCACGGATCGCCACGCGTGGAGAAATGCCGTGCGGTACATCATCGAGGCCTGCAGCCGCAAAAAGTATAAGTACAATAAAGGAGGCAGATATAAGCTCCGACAACTTACGCCACCGCTCACCAGTACCGCCTTCTTATTATCTTGCTCATACTATAAGCTTGCGTTGACCTATCATAAATGCGTTAAAACCAAGATCCGGGCATCAAATACTAGCATCTGATGGTGTGAGTTTATCTCACTACACCTCTCCTACCTCGGAGTCATTTTTGACTACAGCTTTCTATGACGTGGCAGCACAATCGACTTCACGGAGTAGGTTCCGTGGCTTTAAGGTCGCAGAGTTTCTTACATTTAATGCGAATATGAACACCACGAAAGCTTAAAAGTGGAACATTGGTTTCACACATGGGGGAGTGTCTCGATCTCTCTATCTGATGAATGAGAGTTTCGATACGATCAACTATCTCACTAACGTCAGTTTTTCTAAGTATTTGACAGGCCACTATCAGGAGGAAGTAAACCATCAGGTTCTTCCTGTATCGATTTTAATCGGGAATTTTCGGAATAAGGTCGGAGTGGCGTTGACTGATTTATCGCGATTTCAATCAGTAGACTCAGAGTGCAGACTGTTTCACTTTCGTTGTATCTCTGCATGCAATTTTGCAAAAAGGGATGAGCTGCAGACTGTTAATGACTTCATGGATAAGGAAGAAGACGAGTCGAGCACCGGATCAATTAATTTATTGTCCTGAGCTTTCGAACTCTTGCAGGAGTCCATCTTGAGAGGACTTCTTACTTCTCCCAAAAAGAAAGGTAATTCGGATGACCCAGGGATGGAAAGGTCGGCCGCGTCTGAGTAAAAACAGCATTTCTTTTCTTCATATTTCCAAGTTATTCAGAAGATGGACTTGCTTATTAACGATGACTGTTCAGGGTCACCTACAGGTTGCTCAAACGAAACGCCAGCTGTGTCATTTCACATTTCAAATGATTTGCCGGGGAGAATTGGACCTACAGTCTGACATGTGCCGCATCGTGCAGTAGTCTTGGCCATAGTCCTCTCTTCTTGTGGCGTCAATTCACTTGTCTGTCGGAAGTGGGTCTTAGACTGATGCCGGAAAACAATCGAAAATATCTTTAAAACTATCGAATTGCGAAGGACGACAGGAAACATGCGTTCGAATGGCAGTCTGGTCAGAGAGGACATAACCGTGGCCAGCGTTTCTGGGGGACTTTGCACGTCTGCGGCCGCTCTGTTGTACTTGAACCTCCCCGCTGAAGAT